AGAAGGAAGATTTGTACTAATAGTGTTTGGACAGGATATCATGTCTGCATCTTGTACAATGAATAACTACTACAAAGACAACAATATGCAATATATTAATTATTGTAACTGTCCTACTAACCTGTTTTGAAACTGTCTCCTTGTTATTTCTCAATAAAATTAATAAAAAATAAAATAAAAATTATACCATCAGGTGACTTGGCACTGTTTTCGTGAGGTATCACTAAACAGTAAAACAAGGGAAAGGGCAGAATGTATATGATCTTATTTTTATAAAGCAATGACATTATGCAAGAATATGTATATGTATTTGCTTTTACTGCTGCCATAATAAAGTATAAACTCAGGTCGGGGAGATGGCTCAGTGGAATAAGCACTTCCCTGGCAAGTGCAAGGGCCTGAGTTCAATCCCCGGTTCCACCAAAAAAAATAAATAAACTTAAAAAAAAAAAAAAGTATAAACTCAGCAATTTAAAACAATATAAACTGGGGGCCTGGCCCTAGCTCAGTCTTTAAGTGGCTGCTTCCACAAAGCTGTCAGCCTCAGGTTCCTGGAGTTCGAACCTCACAACTCTCCGGCTGGCCAAAAGTGCCCTGAAGGCATTTGAGGAAGGAAAAAAAAAAAAAAAAAAACCCTAAAACAATATAAACTTATTACCTTAAGATTCTACATTAGATGGGACCGGGGAGATGGTTCAGTGGAATAAGCGCTTCCCTGGCAAGCGCAAGGGTCTGAGTTCAATCCCCAATTCCGCAAAAAAAAAAAAAAAAATTCTACATTAGAAATAGGCTAAAGCCAATGTTACAATCCATACCTGGATGTCTCCCTATTGCTATGTGAAGTCACAGACAGGACCTATGGGAGGTAACTGGATTATAGATCTGATTTGCTAATTTTGTTTTATTACTGTCTTTTGGAGACAGGGTTTCACTATGCAGTTTGGGTTGGCCTTAAACTCACTTCGTAGTCCCAGCGGGCCTCAAACTCACAGCAATTTTCCTGCCTCAGTCTCCTGAGTGCTGGGATTACAGGCACATGCCACCACGCCCAGCTCGATTTACTGTTAGGAGCTAGAGTGTGGTCAGGAGTGGTGTGTCACTACAGGGTTGGACTGGGAGGTTATATTGCCCCTCTGGGCTCCTACCTTGATCCTACTTCCTATTGTCATGCCAAGAGCTCTTTCCCTGCCATGCCCCTCTGGCACACCACCTTGCCTTGGAGCCAGCCTACTACAGACTGAAACTTCTACAAACTAAACCAAACAAACCTCTCCTCCTTTAACTTTTGGGTGTCAAGTACTGAGTCCCAGCAACAAGAAAATTAAAGACATGGAGTGTCACTGTGGAGCCACATTTCTTTCTATAAGCCCCAGGCAATAATCTACTCCCTCACTTTTCCAAATTCCAGGAATCATCCCCTATGCGGCCAAAGACCCACCTTCTTTCTTTTCACAAAAAGCAACACTGCATCCCTGACCATTTGGCAGGAATCAAGTCTTTCTCTGACCATGGTAAAAGACGTTTCTCCATTTCTCCATTTAAGGGCTTACTTAAATCAGGTATTCCTGGATAACCCAGCATGACTTCCCACCTCAGTCCTTTAATCACATACACAGGCTCTTTTCCTACCTTGTCAGGCAGCATATTCAGAGGCTACGATGAGGACATTTTCAGAAGGGAGCAGCACTTTGCCAGCCACAAATGTCTATAATGTTTACTGCACATCCATGAAAGCAACCCTAACAACCTACATTATCAGGTTCTTACATAGGTTAGAAATATAGGGCTGATGCGAGTATACGAAAAGGAGAAAAGAGAAAAGGAGAAACAGAAAAACTGGGGAGAAAGAAAGAAAGGGAGGGAAGAAAAAGGGGAAATGAGGACATTAAAGAAAAAAGAGAAAAAAAAAATAAGACTATCCAAACATTATCAAAGGGAAATAATTTGATTTATGTGTTTTGGTCAAATTAAGTGTTTAAAATTTAATTTATTTGTTACAGGGTCTCGCTACACAGCTCAGACTAGTAGTGATCCTTCTGTCTCAGCCTCCCCAGTGCTGGGATTACAGTTTAGGTGGCCTGCACAGCATGCCTGGGATTCCAGGACAGTCATGGCGTGTGGTACCAGGGATTGAACCTGAGTCCTTGCAGTTGCCAGGCAGGCGCTCAGACTGCTGAGCTATCTCCCCAGCCTCTATGTGTTTATACCTGTATAGAAAATTTTAATTTAAAAATAAGATTAAAATTTTTAACCTGATTTTGAAGGACTGCCTCCCATACCTTCTCCTGACCACATCTCAATGTATATAATGAATAATGTCAGAATTGATCCCCAGTGTGCTGTGCCAACCCTGCCCTCAGGGGCACACTGAGCTGGCAGCTGGCAATTGAGACTGGGTGTGGTGGCGCATGCCTATAATCCCAGTGCTTGAGAGACTGAAAACAGGGGGATCACTACAAGTCTGTTCTACATAGTGAGACCCTGAAGACCCTGTACTAAATACATAAAAAAAAAAAAAACCTAGAGAGATTAAATACATTTACCAAAGTCACGCAAAGTAAAAGCAGAATCAAAATGCAAAACGGGCAAACTAGCTCAGAATTCCAGGCCCTAAACAGTAAGCTATCCTATGTCTACTTCATTTTCTTCACAAACGTGTACATGTATTTGTAAAATTTTTTTTTTATTTATTTGAGAGAGAGAGAGAGAGAGAGAGAGAGAGAGAGAGAGAGAGAG